CACCTTCAGAATAAGGCAGGTAGGAGAGATGAAGCAGGCTGTAGGAGTTTTGTGCGGATGAATTTGTAGCAACAGGTCCTTGGGCCATCTGTCTATCTCCTCTCTGTCCCAGTTTCTGCACATTGGCTAAGAGAGCCCCTGGTGCCTGGCCAGGTGTGGGACAGTCTGGACTCTACAGGTGCTGGCCTGAGTCAAACTAAAGATAGAACAGAGGCGTCCTGAGGATGCCAACATGGCTAAAATTGGCTCAATCTGCATGGGCAACCTAGGCCAGACAGACCTCCCTGGGTAGGGATGAGGGGTTCCTTTGCTACATGGTCCATGTTTTGGTCTTGTTCTCTGTGTATTTCTATCTCTGTTTCTCTCTAAGAGCTTCATATATTTTTGGCTGACCTTGAATTTAATATGTTGTTGAAGATGACCTTGAACCTCTGATCTTCTGCCTTTACTTCCTGAATGCTGGCATTAGCACCACCGTGTTCAATCTGTGTGGTGCTGGGGGGTGAGTCTAGTTCTTGAGACACGATAAGCAGACACTCCACAGACCTAGGCACATCCCTTGCCCAAGATCAGTGTCTCTTAAGATACCCAGTGGCAACCTAGAAGGTCCTGAAGTGTTGGAGCAAACCATGAACTGGCATGATTCAGGCCTCCTGGTCAACTTGACCTTGAATAATAGAAGCGAAGTCTCTCACACTGGGGTCATAAGGCGCTCTGCTCACCCAGCTGACTGCCACTAGAAAGGTCTCTCCCTCCTTAGGTCCTTTCAGAGCCTAATTTGTGCTGATCCACCCTGCACCGTGGCTCCTGCTGGTAAAGACTCAGCAGGCGGCTGAGATTATCCACTTACCTGAGACATTTCTGTCACATTCTCAGAGGACTCTACTATGCCCGTAAGCTATGAAACACTCCCCAACACTTCCATTCGCCCACTGTGCAAGCTCCTCCCTCCTGGCTCTTCCAGTGCCACCTGCTGCATCCGCCTCCACACCCCAGTGTGTGCGCCTGCCTCCACTTTTCAGTGCTCTACCCGTCCCAAGTCTGGTTTACTCCACTCAGGCTTTCCCAGGTCCTCTACTTGCTGCTTTCCATCTTGTTAGTGGGCCTCAGCCAACTCGTGAGGTTTCTTTGGGTTTTCAGGCATAGGCAGGTGCTATAGGGGTCTTCTTTAATGTAAGCCATGGCAGGGACATGAACTGATTAGACCCCACTGGCAGGTGTGAGTCACACCACCTGGCTACCTCCCTGTCTCTCCATTCATCAGAGACAATGCTTCCCACACTCCGAAGCAGGAGGGGTTCCCTAACTCTGCAACCCAGCTCCTCTCTCTCTGCCTCTTAGCATGCAGGGAGAAGGGACAGAGGGAAGAAGCCAGCTGACTTATTTACAGACTCTCCCTCGGAAATGATCCTGGGGCATTTTCTTATTTAATTATTAATGTCCCCATGGTGCCTGATACGTTACCCTCTGTCACTCCAAATGGAGTCATCTAATAACCACAGTGGCAGGATTGATTATCCCTTGGTCATCTCATAAGCATATGTCTTTGGTTCAGGTGCTCCCCGAGAGCTCCTGGGAAGTCCCACTGAAGTGACTGGGCAGGAGTTGTTCTCGCACTGTGACAGGTTTTTTTTCCTGGCTGCTTTTCTGACTTCTCAACTGAAGTGTCAGAGATAAGGTGATATTGTTTGAGAGTCGGTGCTTGAAGCAGAGGGAGGGCTCTCTCTCCCACCACTAATTGCTTACAACACATCAGAAAGATAAAGGACACTTACTAGGATGATAGCAAGGAAGGCAGGTGACCACACTGGAGCGTGGGGCCTCTGCTGTCACTGTCCGGGGGCTAAATGGGACGTTATCAATGGTCCTGACCTTTGTCAAACCCTGCTGGGTAGTAGATGGTGCTGAAGATGAAGAGCAGGCTGAGGGAGAGGTGGAGCAGGAGGGAGGAAGCCTCGCCTGACAAAAAGAGAAGAGAGAGAGAGAGGGAGAGAGACAGTCTTTCTGTCTGTCTGTGTCTGTGTACAGGATCACATACCCATATGTTCAGAGAGGCCAGAAGAGGACATCAGACATCCTGTTCTGACTCTCCACCTTATCCTCTTGATTCAGAGTCTCTTGGCAAATCGAGAACTAGACTTGCAACCATCAAGCCTCAGTGATCCCCCTGTCTCCACCCCTCCTCGTGCAGGGGTCCTAGTGCTGTAGTCGCACCTGGTGCTGGGATCCAAACTTAGGACCTCACACTTATGCAGCAAGCAGTCTCACTAAGCTATCACTGTAGGGTCTTGATTGATTGACTGGCTGACTGGCTGGTCGGTTTTAGTGCCAGAAATGGAACGCAGGGTCTTGCACACATGACGCAATTGATGCACTATTGAGCCATACCCACCACCCAAGATACATCTCAGGCTTGGCCAGGTTCCAGGAAGAGTCTGAGTGTTAGGGGGTCTGAGATGCATCATCATTGTACTCCTAATGTCGGACATCCTTCTCTCTCTATTCCTACCAGAACTGGACATGGCCCTGGGTAGAGACTTGACATTTCAGGCCTCAGACTTTCAGTCTGAGTACACCATCCATCTCTTCTTCCAGTGTGCCCATCCAGACAACTATTACCTTCTCTGCCATGGTCAGTCTCCAGTGACTCCTGCCAGTTAAGAGTCCCCTACACTGAGCCATTCAGACCCAACAAGGCAAGAAAAGCTCTAATGAAGACTTTGTTGTTACTGTGTTTTTCAAGACAGAGTTTCTCTATGTAGCCCCAGCTGTCTAGAAATTAGCTCTGTAGACCAAGCTGGCCTAAAACTCAGAGATCCACCTGCCTCTGCCTCCCAAGTGCTTTGATTAAAGGCGTGTGCCACCACTCCCAGCTTAGCGAAGACTTCTTCAGAACTTTCTTATGATGGCTATGATCCAAGTAACCCTTCCATTCACTGTGGGTCCCCAGGAGCCAGAGGATCCATCTCCTTTCGTCTTGGGCCCACTCCTTTGATAGCCAAAGCCTTCTAAGTTTAAAGGTGCCATCTCAGGTCCTTTGGAGGAGGATGCTGAAGCTAACAGAACCTGTCCAAGCATACAGTAGGGCCACATGAGATACAGGGACAAGACACTCTATAGTGGTCATTCAAGACTCACTCACCTTCCTGAGTTCTGTGTGTGTCATTCATTCCTCCCAGAGATGTCCAGCCCAGACCTTCATGGAAAAAGATGTTCCCATCCCTCCTGACTGTCCAACTCTCCCCAGCACTAGGTGTCCCATTCTGAATCTACTTGAATCTCCTAGTGGAGAACAGAGTGGTAGGATATATGGCTGACACTGGCCGTCACCCTCAAGCCATGCTGTGTGGACTCTAGGCTGTGTGTGGTGGTTGCTGAGTCTCGGCTGCTAAACCAGGGAGGGCAGAGGATGGGACTAGGAGAGTAGCTGCTCTTCTTGGACTCTGCCAATTTAGAGAGAAGCGGCAGGGTCACCCTTCCTGCCCCCAAGGGGTCTGCAGATGCCCTTGATCTCTGGCTAAATCTGCACTCAGCTGTGTGATTACCAGAATGTATGGAGACAGTACAGCCTCATTAGTTATTAATTTAGAACCCATGGTTACACAGAATTTGTGATGATTTGCTTGTAGTTGGGGGGGGGGGTTTCTAAAGAAAGGATTCAACTAGAAATGCCTGAGGTGGGAGCAGAACAGTTAAGCGTCTCGGAGAAGAGGTCGCATGGAGTACCATGTCTGGAGAAGTGTGTAAACACACGCCATTCTTGTTTGTCTCCCAAGGAGGATAAATGGCCCTCATCTAAGAATGTAGGGCCTGTGGGCTAGCTACCCAACCATTTCAAATCTGGGGACTGATTTCCAATGTCAAAATGTTTTCCAGACACCCTCAGCCCTGCTTAATGGAAATTGTATTTCTCTTAGTGTCAGTGGTTGAAAAGAAAAGCTGCCCTGGATTCATTAAAACCTTTAAATAAATCATAACAGCACCTCTGCCGTTGGTCACGGTGTTGGGTCAGCTCACAGCGGACGCTGGGGCTCATGGGGTCCAGCCCCTTTGACGTGTCCTCACTGCCCTGTGTCTCCAAGGTCAGTGGCCTATCAGGTGGGAACATTTAGACTAGAAGGCATTCTCTAGAGCTGCAGAGTAGGAGTGTAAGGTCTTGGAGAGGAAGAAGCTGTAGTGTAAGGGGCATAAGGTCTTGGAGAGTAAGGCCAGGGGCCACTTATCCCTGGCCCCGCCCCCCACATGGCTCACCCTCCTTCCTCCTTAAGCAGCTCTGTATTGGGGATCTCTCACTTAGGAGACAAGGGAGTTGGAACTGTGTAACCGTTCAGTGATACTTCAGGGGCCTTGATACCTGGCCCATCACTTCCTTAAAGCCCTGTGATACAACTGTCCCAGCCCCTTTTCCCACAGTGGGAGTGCTATTTGGTGGCACCAAGGAACCGGTATCCTGGAGGAGGAAAGAGAAGCAGAGGCCTAGTGTTCCGGGTGGCTGGTGCCCAGCGTGCTCAGAAGCACTGTCCCCAGTTCAGTGTCCCCCTGGGCCACGCAGTTATGTTACTTCTCTTTCTTAGCATAGGAGGAGCAGGAGGTAATGGGATTGATTACCCAGCCTTACCAGATGAGGAGGAGGGGGAGGGAAGAGCCTTGGCTCTACAATGGCCAGATCTGCGTTTCTGTATCAAGGATAGACTTGGGGCTGGGGGACAGGGGGGTGTGCTCTGAACATGGAGAAACTTTAGCCTATGTATTGCCTGTGGGCCTCTTCCTGGGTAGATCTTGGACCCGTGACTCAAGATTCCCCCCTTCAGTTACTCAGAGCTGTCTCCACGTTAGTCAATGATGTGAAATCCCACGCTCATTACCGTGTGGCCGCTGTGGGAATCCCGGCCTGTTTAGTGTCTCTTCATCCGCTTTGAGGGAGGACCGGTCTTAGCACCAAACAGAGGCTGCAACACTAAGTCTGAGTAAGCCGCTTTCTTTTCTGTTCTCCCACACAGGGCCTGATGGCGCCATCCACGGTGGGCCTCCTTGTCATCTCCCTTCTGCAAGCCGCCCTCACTCTGAACCCTGAGGACCCCAATGTGTGTAGCCACTGGGAGAGGTAAGCTGGCGTTCCCTGGAGGGCTCTGTCTGGGTGTGGTACTATGGAGAAATACCAGAGGCAGGAGAGGCAGCAGCTGGCTGTGGAAGGCCTGACGTCCAACAAGGAGGTGAAGACAGGTCAGGGCAGCTCAGACTGAAGGACAGGGTAAAGCAAGGTGGATTTCTGAAACCCAGGGCCATGGGAGGACAAGGTGGTGGCATGTGGACAGCAGGTGACCACACCCGGTTGGGCTGTCCTGCCCTTTCCTCCTTGGCATCCTGTACTAGAGACTGTTCTCATGCTATGACGGAACATCTGACAAATACGGCTGAGAAAAGGCAGGGTTATTTTGACTCACGGTTTGAGGGTACAGAGCACCGTGCAGGGAAAGCGCAGTGGCAGGAGTGTGAGGTGGCTGCTCACACCCGGCAGTGGCTCACACACGGCAGCGGCTCACACTCAGGAAGCAGAGAGATAAAACACTTGTGCTCACTTCTCTCTCTCCTTTCTATTCAGCTCAGAACCCCAGCCCGTGGGGTTGCCCCCCTTTAGGTAGAGTCTTCCAACCTCAGTTAACCCAGTCTAGAAACTCCCCACAAATGGAGGTTTTCCTTCTAGATGACTAGTTTGCCTTCTAGGTTTGCCTCTAGTTCTGGCAAAGTTGGCAATCAATCAGTATCAGCTACCACACACCCATTTACAGACGAGGGAGTAGAGGCCTGGGGAGTCCTGTCTCTGTCTACAGCCAGAGTGGTGGCAAGAGGAGGTATGGATTGTGGTCCTAGGTGTCTTATCTTGAACTCTGGGATGTCGGTCATAGTCTCTTAGGACTGGCAGCAACGGCAGAATGGAGGAACAGCCAGGGCCTGCCAGGAGGTGATGGGGAGCTTCCGGTTTTGGTTTGATCAGGGCAGGAGTGGCAGGGCCAGATGAGGCTAGCTCAGGCAGGGTGGCAGGACCACGGCAGGGGAGCCTGTCGCATATAGGCTGCAGTAGTGAATACTAGCGTCTAGGCTGGGTCCCTGCAGATGGGTCTGACTTTGAAGCCCAAGGTTAAAGTATTGATTTTGGTGAGCAGAAAGACAGTGACCAGAGACCCAATCAGGAAAAACTGAATTAAACCCTGGAATTGATTGGCCATGCTGACCAGGATGACTCTGCCACTTAGACACTAATAAATCAAATGAGTAAAATTAAGATGGAGACCCGATGGGGGAAATGGATGGTGGAGGAGGGAAGGCAAGATAGGCCCATGAGGATGGATGGGCAGTCTCTGGGCAGAGAGAAACATCTCGTCGAGGCAAGACAGGGCACTGGGGTAGCCTAGACACCCGTAGGCCAAGAAGACTGGGGGGAAGAAGAGGGACAGTGCCTGCTCCCGTGTGTTGTCTGGTGGCTGGATGTCCTGTGCAGAGTTGTGATGACATCAAGGCTAAAGCAAAGAGTATTTCTGTGGTGCCCTGAAAAGAATGTAAAAAATCTGTAAAGTCTTCAGGGTGGATTTTTCTACCTGCCAGCTGTGCTCCTTGGGGGAGCCTCTGAACAACTGTGATCCCACAACCAGGTCTATCCAGCAAGGCAAGTAAACATTCTCACCTCACAGGCTCATGGGAGGAGCAAGGGAGCCAGGTTGGTGAAAGTGCTTGGCAGTCATTGTTTTCACATTGACAACATTGGCTCAGGACGGGGTCGTTATCAACTCAGGCCCAGAGACTTACTAGGGTGCGTGAGCGCAGGCTCTGGAGCCCAGGCCAGGGACTCAGATTCAGTGTTCTGTGTTCCATCTTTCTCACTTTCCCTTTCCTTCCTGGTTGGTGATTCTTAGCCTTTGCTTCCCAGTGTTCAGGGAGCCTCACTGAGTCTGTGGTTGGGGCCTTCTTCCCCAGAGAAGCTGTCCATCATCAGCCAGGCAAGACTGATACAGTAGCCAGGTTCTAGGATTCCTGCTGCCTCTTTGGTCATCCATGTCTTCTTCCAAGACCAAGAAAGAGTCTTGGTCTCTTTCTCTCTCTCTTAGGGAGAGCCATCCCTTATAACAGGACCCATGATGAATCTATTCAAACTTGAAGTGAAACTCTACTTGTCTCCCTGCCCAGAGTGAACAAGGTTGGAACGGGAAAACATTGGGAGCGAGCTGATTCTTGGGTGGCTGCAGCTCTCAGCTCAGGCCATGGCCCACATGAGAGAGCAGGGAACCACCCAGGAGTGAAACCCAGGTTTCTTCCCTCTACCCCTGGGAAGGAGGCTGTGATTCCTTCTTCTTGGATCTTCCAGCCAAGATTCCCTGATACTGTGTTTAGATGTATCTAGTCTGTTCCCCTCCATAAACACACCCCGGTCCTCAGAGTACTTGGGGATACTTTCTCAGCTGGATTAGCCCCTCTGGAAGACTCCTTGTTGATTATGTCCCTCTACCCCACAACACCGCCCTTCTCCCCTGCTCCCCCGTGTGCAGCTGGTAAATCCTGGTGCTATGTGATGGATTAGCCCCTCATTAGCATGTTGGCAAGTGAGCAGTGTTAAACTACCCAGCTGTGAAAGCAGGACATACACTGCAGGTTGGAGACTTGGCACGGGTACAAGGCCCTCTTGCTGGACTTGCTCAGTCCTGGGGATCCTACAAAGCTAAGTCCACCCCCATGACATCAACAGGCCCCCCACCTGCCACCTTGGGGACTGGCTCCTTTGCCTCAGTCAGCACTGGAATAGCAAGCTGAACCCCCAAGTGAACAAAGGTGGGGAGCCCATTCTGTAGCAGGACTTGCTCCCTGCCCCCAGCATGGTAAGAAGGAATCATTCCATGCCTATCACAGGAGGAAAATCATTGTGTGTCACACTGATGAAGGCTAGCATCTATTAAGCACTTCCTACGTATCTAGTAAGCATTTTTACTGCTTTTTTCCATCAAGAGGTACAGATTACTGTCCCTGTCCTTTAATTCTCACTGTAATCCAAGTCCCATGTATTTGTCACAGATTTTCAAATGAGGACATGGAGGCTTATGGGAGTTCAATGACATATTTAAGGACATGCTAGTGAGTGATAGGCCCCACACAGGCCTCCAGGCCCAGGCTCTGGCTCATTCATTTGCCTTCTAAGAGACAGCCTTGCAAAATGCAGCATGGTGCAGTGGGATTTTAGAAAATCTGTGCTGACCTGCCTGTTTCCTAACACCTAACAGGGATGTGGGCCATGCCTGCCTAGACTTATATGTCTGGACCACATCTCCCAGGTACCCACCCCCAGAGACGTCATTACCATCCTGATTGTCAGAACTCGCCACTTGCCTGGGTCTGAGCACTGCTGACCATTCCTGGCCTGCTTGCAGAGCTCCAGACCTCTAGTCTCACAGGCATCAGGGAGCAGACTGTGGTCCCACTGCATCCAGCCCTCTTGTAAATGAAACAACAGTTTCCTCAGGCGAAGCAGATGGACTTTTACAGCCTGAGCCTGGCCATCTGGCCCAGGTCAGTGGGCCTTCTGGGGAAAACATGGAATACCAGTCTACGTGACAATTAATTCCTGACACGCTCTCCAGCCTGCCCAGGAGGTGTGTGCCGCACATAGGCAGACATGCGTCAGTAGTGCCACTTCATGTCACCTCGCCAGAACAGACTTCATGTGGCTTCCGCCTGCTGGTCCAGGTTTCAGCTAGTAGGCAGGATGACAATGACTGCTTCCCTAGGAAGATCTGGAGACACGCACTCTATGTAGCCCCAGCCATGCAAGAGATACAGTAGACGAGAAGGTCTCTGGGAGAACTAGGGGAAGTTGCTTAGACTGTGATGCTGTGTCCTTATCTTTCAAAGTCAGATTAATTCTTCTACCCTCCTAAGAGAGCCAGGAAGAGGCTGTTGGTCAAGTGTTGGCCTAGAAAGCACAAGGACCCAAGTTTGAGCTCCCAGAACCCACATTAAACAAACAAGCTAGACATGGTGATGAATTCTTGGAATCCCAGTGGTGGGGAGACAGAGATAGGTGGACCCCTGGGTCTCACTGTGGCCACCTTAGTCTATTCTGCAAGTTCCCAGTCAGTAAGAGTCCCTGTCTCATAACGCAAAATGGCAGGCATTTGAGAGACAACAGCCAAGGTTGTTTGTTCTTGGGCCACCCCACACATGCACACATACAAGCACACCTGTACACTCATGTACTCCTGTACACAAACACATAGAAAAGAATGGAATTAAAGGGATTATCATGGGGACATTCAATACTGGTACAGCTGAGCAAGCTGCCTCTCCTAGCTTCAGTTTCTTCATGTATGCAGTGGGGCCATTGATACAATTGTTTTAAAGAGCATCTCCCATACACACTCGTTAAAGACAATGAGAATGCGAACAAACACACCATCATTATTACTTTAGAGAGATGATCTTGTATGTTGCCCAGGCTGGCTCCTGATTCAGCAAATTCTCTAGCTTCTATGCTTGAGGCTGTATGGTGCATACCAACATACCTGGATATTTTTGACCTGTGGAATCTGCCTTCTAGAACCATACAGAATAAACCTAAACCTTCCTCTGCTTACTATCTGATAAGGGAAGCAGAATTTTAAAAAAATTTGCTTGGGTCAAAAGTTAGTAAGGTTATGGTTTAGTTTCTTTTCCTATTAAAGTAATAAAATATCCAGACAAAAGCAACTTATGAGAGAAAAGATTTGTGTTGGCTCGCAGTCCGCATGGTGGCAAAGTCACAGTAGGAGTTGACCATATCCTATCCACAGTCAGGAAGCCGAGGACAATAGCCACATGCTGCTACTCAACTCACTCTTTCCTTTTTATACACTTAGTTCAGGATTCCAACCCAGGGAATGGTTCCCCCACAGTGGGCAGGCCTTCTCCCCCATTCACTGGGATACCGTGTGCCCTGCATGTGTGCTCAGAGGCACGGCCTCCTGCTAATTTCTAGCTTCTGTTGAGTTGACAATTAATGCTAGCCAGCACAGATATGACCTAGGGTCATGGCTGAGATCCAGGGCAGGAGTCTGGGAGCTGGGAGGGGAGGTCAGAGCTGGATCCTGGTCTTGGGACTGTGGGCTGGGCAAGTCTGAGAGGGGAGGTTGTCCTGGCATGGGCTTGGCCTTCACTGACTATGGCTTCCATCTTGTCTGGCTGTCAGCTATGCCGTGACTGTGCAGGAGTCTTACGCACACCCCTTTGATCAGATCTACTACACACGATGCGCAGATATACTCAACTGGTTCAAGTGCACTCGGCATCGGTAAGCCCTCCCCAGGGGATAGGATGGGGTGGTAGATACCTGGCTCTCTAGCTTGTTACTGAGAGACCATGGGGCAGGCTTGTGCATGGCCCATACTGTGTTCCTGGAATTCTCTAATGCTGGTAGTCTGAGACGCTATGAGCTGCGTTCTTTCTGACTAGAAGCGATGAACTTCATAACCTGCAAGCAAAGAATCCTCAACCAGCAACATGGAAAGTTGGTGGATGAACACCCCAACTTCCCCACCAAGAGGGGAGGGTACAACTGTGAGGCATTTCTGGTCTGTACCCCATCAATTCCAGGATAGAGCGCCTTGTGTACAGTAGTCACCCGCTTAGTAACACATCCTTAGCCGGCTGCTTTGATGCTCCCTTCTGACCTCTCTGGGGAGTCCCCTGCCTGTGACTCTTGCCAGAGGCAGGGGCAGGAGTTGGCACTGGTCTTGCCCTGAACCCTGGGATTCAATACCGAGTTTGTTCCAAAGTGTGGTTCCATTGTCTCAGGGGACTATACAGCCTTCCATTGCCCCGGGGCTGGGTGAGTGAGCGGCTGCTTATTAAAATAGGCTGTGTTCCTGGAACGTGAATGATTTTGCTAAATTATTAAGCTCTGTGGAGCTTTTCCGATGACCTGGAGTGGGCATGCTGACAGCGGCATCATCAGTCTGCGGGGTGTAGTAGCTTGGTCCAGCATCTTCCCCAGAGCAGCCTGGCCCCAGGCTGCACCTGCCCTGCTTCCTACACTGGGAGCATACAAGGCTGGGGGAGCCAGAAGCAGTGGCGGCCTTTCTCCTGGCAGGTGTCAGTGGTGCAGGGTTTAACTCCCAATGGGAGACTTGGGAATCATCTCATGTGGCAGGGAGACTGGCCAGTGACTTCTGTGTCAACCCAGAATAACTCACTCACTCTCTCTCTCTTTCTCTCTCTCTCTCTCTCTCTCTCTCTCTCTCTCTCTCTCTCTTTCTCCCTCTCTCCCTTCCTCCCTCCCTCTCTCTGTCTGTCTCTGTCTCTGTCTCTGTCTCTGTCTCTGTCTCTGTCTCTGTCTCTCTCTCTCTCTCTCTCACACACACACACACACACACACACACACACACACACCCCTTCCAGGCCAGGCCAGGAACTGCCTTCCTGTGTGTAGGGAAGTAGCTTCCTGAGAGGCCAGCTTACCCATTATGGGTTTTTGACAAAGTAGAATGACCTTAGCTTAATGCATTCCCAAATATCACAGATTTCCCATGAGGCCCTCATTGTCGTTTGTCATGAGGTGAGAATTTTAAAGATTTGGGAGGGTTGTCCGGGCTGCAGCTGAAGGAGTAGCCTCCCAACCTGGCCCAGAACGCTGTGTGAAAGCAGGCTGAAGGGATCTCAGCACCGCTGTTCTTCACAGAGGAGGAAGTGAGGGCGCCCCCTGGGTATGACGGGGAAGGGGAAAGAGCTGTGCCTTCAAGGCCCTGGACATTTCCTCTCTGCCTTTAATGGGCATTTCAAATCTACCGCACTGAATGTGGCAGGGGCTTTCCTCGCCAGTGCCCCCTGTGACTCCTCCTATGGTCTTACCACAACCGAAACGCTCTGAAAGGCCAGAAAGCCACCAGAGAGAACTGGTACCAAGAATTATGCAGGGCCCGGTGGCGTGGCAGTTAGAGAGAACTGAGTTTGAATCCTGCTTCTAGCAGTTTTGTTCTCAGGATAATGTATTTTTTATTAGCCTATATGAATTGTAGAAAAGAAGAGATCTTATTATGACTTTTTCGTATAGGAGTATAATATACCTTAATCATGGTCCCCCCACCTCTCATTTCCCTTTCTTGTCTGACCCTGACATTTATTAGCTGTGTGACCGCAAGCAAGTCATTAACCTCTCTGAGTATCAATTTCTCATCCGTAAAGCAATGGGTAGTGGGATGGGGGAAACATAAAGTAAGAATGAAAGCTCTAAAAGACAAATGAGAGAAATGGAATTAATGGGGCGTGATGATGGGGTGTGGCAATCGTCCCTGACCCAGGAGGCTGCTAGGAGAATCTTGCCTATAAATCTCTGGGCCAGAACCAAGTCTCAAAAAAATTGTATCTCTGTAAAGACTAGAATCACATGCTAGCTTCTTCCTGGGCAGCCTGGGGGCAGGGTTAGAGCTTCCTGGGGAACAGCACGCCCTCTGCAGGAGGCCTGAGGAAGCTCATGTGGGATGCCACAATCAGACCGTCTCTCCTACTCACCAGCGGGGTCAGGCCAACACCCTGGCATAGGACGGCAGTGGGCACCAAAGCTCTCAGGATTCCATTCCCATCCAGGTCCCTAGGGTTTCTCTGAGTCCAGAACCCAGTGTTTTTAAGGGCCCTAGGGGAAGCCCCATCCCGTGACCCTCCACAATGTCACCCCAGCAGCGTTCTTGGCAGCCCTTGTATCTGGAAGAGATTGGGAAGTCAGCAGGCTCCTCCAGCACCACGTGGGTCATACATTCTGCACCACAGCAGCCCATATCCCACCATCGATTTTGCTTTATTGCGTTCTTTCATATTCGAAGCCGCCATGCATTTTAAAGTAATTATTGAATGGCATCCTCGATAGAGCTTAACACAAATATCATTCTAAACGGGATAGATTGATTTTCAATCCTTTCAAGTGGCTCTCTCCCTCGTGCCTAGGATCAGCTATAAGACGGCTTACAGACGTGGCCTCCGGACCATGTACCGGCGGAGGTCCCAGTGCTGCCCTGGCTATTATGAGAACGGAGACTTCTGCATTCGTAAGTAGGGGCCTTTGTGGAGGTGGGAGGGAGCCTCAGTAGACACCCTAGGGCTTTGTCAGTCCATGCATGATATCAGTGCTGAGAGGAGATTCTGGGCTTGATACAAGTGGCGCTTGGCCTGAGATCAGCCAACCTCCCAGCTCCTGTGCAGGGGATGGCCCAGGTAGGTCAGAACACAAGGAGCGCCTACCAAAGAGGAATTCATGAAAGATGAGCATCGCTTTTTCCTTGTTTGATTGTAGCTGCTCAGAGAACGGGTGGGATAGTGCACACCAGGAAAACGAGTTGAGATGCCGTAGGCCATAGGTTCCTAGGTAGGGGACGCCCTGAGGACTCTGGCCCCAGCTTGCTGGCCATGTGACTCGGGGCAAGCTTCTTCAGCTTTCTGGGCTGATGACTCTGGGGGTCTCTCAGAGCCAATCTGATCAGTGGGGTGGTACACAAAGGATCTCCAGGAGGATGTTCGAATGTCCCCCTAACTGCAGGGTGTCACGAAAGCTCGTAAGTCCCCTTAACATGGCTAGTAGGGAACCCACTCATAAAGTTGCTGCCTCCACTCAGAGAGTGATGAACCTTGCTAGTATTCTCCTGGGCCAGAAAGAACGCGGACAGGTGCATGTGCTAGAGTCGGGAATGACGTGATGGTTCCCCTCCTGGGCTTACATTGCCTCTCACGCTAGAGAAACTCAATTCTAATCGCCGTCGAGGACGAGTGTAGGATGCTCCAGGTCAGCCCAGTAGTGATGGTACTTCAGGAAAAGTACAAAGAAAGGCACACTGGCCGGATCACTGAGGCTTTTCCAGTTGTGGGACTGAGTACCAAGCTAGGATGAGCTCTGGGCCGGCACCTCTCTGTGGATGGAGGTTGTTCTGGGGCACGCTGGTAGAAGTGAGATCATTACTGAAGACCACTGCTCTGACTACACAGAGGAGAGCCAGCCAGGCTTGACTAGGGATCAGCAAACCCAGACAGGGCGACATATCAGCAGTGCTGTAGAGCAGGCCTGGGTCTGAATCTTATTCTGCCACTGCTGGCCTCTTGGTTGTCATGGAGTCAAGTAGTCAAAATGTGCTGGGCACAATTCTAACTGTGTCTCATTCATTGTCAAACAACAGTCCTGTGGGGACAGGTATCATTGTTTCATTTTGCAGATAGGGAAACTGAGTCACAGGTAACATAAGTAATTTGGTCAAGATCATATAACCAGGAAGCGGCAGCACCTGTGCCGGAGTCTAGGCTCTCCAACAGGTTAGACAGACCAGCTCCTGCTTCACGAGCCCATGTGAGATATTACTTCTCTTGACTTCAGTTTGCAAACCTGTAAAATGGGGCCAGCATCAGCTGCATTGCTAGACACAGAGGAGGGCCTTTGCAAATGTCGGTTCCCTTCTCTGTGGCCTTGGCTTTGACTTCAGCTGTTCAAGGGGTTCATAAATATTTCCCTGGGAACCCACACTGCACATAGTCAGGGTTCTCAAGACTGAGTTGCACAGTACAGTCCTAGCAATCTGACAATGGCCATTGCCCACCAGAGAGATTGAGAACCCAGAAGTTGCTCAGCCCAGGAGGCTGGTAATCTTGGCAGTCCCAATCCGGGGCTGAAGGTCTGGAGGATTCCTGAAGGGCTGCTGCTCTCCAGCCCGTGTTGGAAGCCCAGGGAAGCCGGTTCTATCAGCAAAGGAATCAGCAGTAGCCGTAACAGGGGAGGTGAACTCACCAGGAAGAGTGAGGGCTAGCCGCGCGCGCGCGCGCGCGCGCGTGTGTGTGTGTGTGTGTGTGTGTGTGTGTGTTCAGATTTCCTCTTTCTATAAGAACCTAAGTTATACTTCATTAGGCCCTCCCTAAATGACCTCATTGCCTCTATAAGACCCTGTCTCCTTAAAAGGTCATGTCTGAGGGATTGAGAGGGTCAAGACACCAATGTTGAAGGGACAGCACAAAGCTCATGGCACTGCCAGCAGCCCTGTCTTCCTGCTCATGGGGATGAATGACTGGGGTGGTGGCCAGCCCTGCACAGGCTTCATCCCATCTAAGAGGGAAGCTGTGATAGGGACACCTGGCCGTGGGAAGGTAGAGAACAGCATCCTGATCTGACGTGTGCTCCAGGCAGGGAAGGGAATATCACCTTCCCTCAGCAAACCTTCCTAGAGTCTTGATTCTCACAGGCAGAAGAAAGATTTAGTGGATTCTGCCACTAACTTCGCTGTGCAATCTTGGTCAAATCTCTTGGCCCCTCTGAGCCCTCCTGTGCATGGAATAAGGAGACATAGTGGCTGAGTGTGCAGGAGAGCAAAAAGCTCAACACAGATCTAGGGGGAACGCTTTCTCTGCCTTTATTCCCGCTCCTCTGCCCAGAGCAGCCATCCTTGTCTGGAGTATTGCACCGGAGCTACTCACAATGGCTTTCCTAGGTTACACCATGTCCTTTCTCGTGGTTTGCAGACACAGCTGAGTGCCCCCTTGATTGCCAAGTATCAAAGATTTTCCAGAGATCACAGGACACAAGAGTCTTTCTTCCTCTAGTTGAAACAGTCTTGGTGTTGCTGCCTGTGTGAAGCTGCTTTTTATGTCTCTTCAGAGCAGGCTGTCACCTACGTGGGGGTTTGAGGCATTGAGGGGAGGCTCCGTTCTTTAAAAATACGGGCAGAGCGTCAGACTGGATGGACTGGGTTATGCTGCAGTAACATAAAGTCCCAGAGGCTTCCAACAGCAATGTTTGATTTCTTGTTCATGGCTAATGTCTACCTGGGCTCTCTGAGGCTGGCTCCTTGCCAGCATCAAGCCAGAGCCTTGGCTGGTGGTACGCTGGTGGTCCCTCACTGGAATGCCGAGGGACTCCAGGGCACAGGGAAGTTGACTCTGGCTGGTTTTGAAGGTGGAGAGCCGCAGACATTCAATGAGCATCGTTGAAGCTTCTCAGCGTCCTATAGGATGCCCCAGGACTCACAGTTCATCTGACAGTGTTGTTGCAGTACCTGCTAAGTTAAAACAGCCTCTGCATGCGCTGCCTCCAAGGTGGGTGAGGTGGGCGGCTTGCTGGTAACTCGTCAGTGCTACCTGGAGACCTTGTTTCTTAGACGACTGTATACCTGAACCTCTGACAAGTTCCCTGGTGTGGCTGCTGCAGCTGCTTCTGGAACCCCCCCCCCCTCCCGCATTGAGAATCCCTGGACCCCATTCTGAGAAGGGGTGGGTTCTGCATGCTCCTGTCCCAGCACCTACACCTTCAGTGTGGGCTGCCAAGAGGCTCAGCAGGTGTCTCCCTGATTCCTCTCTTTGGCAGCAGGGCCTTCTCCCAAAAAGCAGGAGGGAAAAAGCTGGGGCTTCAGGAGTGGCCCAGTTGGTCACTGTTAGCCCATTCTCCTGGTTTTCCATTTCCTCGGCCTCGATTTTCTTTCAATTTTTTTTTTCTAACTCCCTTAAACATCCAGGCAGTGTCTTCTGTCATTCCTGGAGGCCTCAAGGACTAGCAATCCACTTTCAGTTTTGTTGGGACCATTTGGAGTCCTGGCCTCCAGCTGCTCTTCCCTGCTAGAGATCTTTACTTTCCTTCTGATTTGAGTTACTGAAAGCTGTGTCAAAGTTGTTTACCAGCTCTGCTTCACGAGCATGTGCTGCCTTGGCCTTGAGGATCAGAGGATAAGGTTTTCACCTGACTGTTGGCCCGCCTGACTGTTGGGTATATAAGCCTCCACGGTGCTATTGAATAAAGGGCTTCTTACCAGTGACTAGAGGTCCATGTTTAGGTCTCTCTGTCTGTGTGTCTTTGCGTGTTTCAACCTCCAGCTCCTTGCCCGAAGCTCAGGAATTGTATGGTAGTGCATAGAGCGCAGATAGGCGTGGTGTGCTGCAGGTTTTGTGCTTTTTCGTGGCGATTCACCAGTGGAAGCAGAGCTTCAGGTGTATACAGCTGACAGTAGTCAGGGCTGATTAGAATTGGAGGCGGGCCCTTCAAGAGGGTCTCGCTGCTGAGGGGAAACAGCAGTAGGAGGCTTGGGGGACAGCGTGCACAGAGGGACTGTGTATTGGGGAGACTCAGATTGTGATTCGGTGGACTCTTTGTCCTAGAATTGTGACCTGGGTACTGCTGTCTCATTACCATGCGGCTGGCCTTTGTTTTTGGTGCTAAGGATTGAACCCGGGGCATGCCAGGCAAGGGCTCTACCACTGAGCCTGTTGTGGACATGTCATGCAACCAGTTCTCACGTCCACGGAGCACATCATGTTCTCAAAGCATCCTGCCTGTCATCTGATGTCTCATCTTTCCTTCCAGGTAAGGATCTGAGTGGCTCCACCACGCTCATCCGTGCGGTGCAGGAGGGGGTGGGGTTGAACCCAGGTCCAGTGTGGTACATCCTCAGACTTCTCCAAGGATCTTCACTAGTTCTTTCTGGGGGTGGGAGATGTCTTAGTTTTTGTTTTAAATCTGGAAACCTGAGTCTGACCTCGCTTGGCTGTGACCCTTGAGTTTCAGTCCTTCCAAGGGAGTATGGTTCACTGCCTTCTGGGTTTGTTGTTGCAATGCTCTGAAATGAGGACGTGTCTGTGTTTGGGGCTATTTTTTTAAAATAGTTATTTCATTTCGTCATTGTGTGTAAGTGCACGTGCCCTTGGGGGCCAGGAGAGGGCATCAAATCACCTGGAACTAGAGAGACAGGTGGGGTGATCTACCCAGCAGGGTGACGGGAACTGAACCCATGTTCTTTGGAAAAGTGGCATGTTCTGAGCCACCTCTCCAGCCCTGGAGTTCTTTTTATTTGTATCCTTTACTTTGCAGAGGCACACATCTTCAAGGTAAAGCCTGCCCTTAGGCAGTCTGGGGTGTGCTGAGCCATGGCTCCTCAATCTCCTTCCTCTACTCCCTCGTCCCCTCCCCTCAGAGTGCCAGTGTCAAGCCCTCTCACCCCATCCGCTTGGTCTTGTAAATCTTCATTTTTCACCCCTTCTCTAGTGTCTTGTCTCGAGTGAGCGCCTCAGATCCATTGGTTAGATCCTG